TAAAATTCTTGATGGAAAGTGCAAAGAAATTGAGAGATTTTTGGCAAGATTCTGGTGGGGAGAAAAGCATGGGGAAAGAAAGGTGCATTGGTTGAGTTGGGCAAACTTTTCAAAGGCTAAAGGAGTTGGAGGTTTGGGGTTTAGGGTAATTGAAGATTTCAACTTGAGTTTGTTGTGGAAACACTTTTGGAGGCGTCAACAATACGATAATTCACTGTTAGGAAGGGTGTGGAAGAGCAGGTACCTCCCAAATTATTATATCCAAGAAGCCAAAATTGGTTATGCCCCGAGTTTTGCACGGAGAAGTGTCTTTAATGCTAAAGACCTTGTGATGAATGAAACAAGGTAGAGGATTAGAGATGGATCAAAAGTGGGAATTTGGGATGACAACTGGTTACCGGATAACCATGGCTTCAAAATCCCGAGTTCAGCCGGAGGGGTGGATAGAGAGGTAAGAGTGTATGAGTTGATTGAACATGACTTATGCAAGTGGAACAAGTAAGTTGTGGAAAGATTTTTCGACTCGACGGAGGCTAGACATGTTATGAGCATTCCTTTTTCCTTGTGTTGGGCAGACAATATTCTGATTTGGCATAGAGAAACATATGGTAATTTTTCTTTGAAATCAACTTATCATATGCTTATTTCGGTGAAATAATCTAGGAAAAATAGCTCCTCGAATCAGTCTCAGTGCAGTTTCTGGAAGATACTATAGGAAATTCCCATCCATGTGAGAGTTCAGAACTTTCTTTGAGAGTTTGCAAAAATATCCTTCCCACCAAAGGTAATTTGCTCAAAATGGTTGTTATGTTGAATTCTTCTGCTCCCTTTGCATATTGGCCCCCTAAACTGTAACTCATTTATTCTTGCATTGTACCATTGCCAAACTGGTGTGGTTTATGTTGCCTATGGACACGAGGGTGCCAGAAAACCTGGATATTATGGACTGGTTGGAAGCTTGCTTGGATAGTAAGGAATATTATGTGGTCCAGCTGATTTTCACTACACTTTGGAGAATTTGGCATGATAATAAGAAGGTGTTTGATAAAAAGAGTTTTGACCCAAGAAGGATTACTCAGAAGGCGGAGGAGTTTGTTTCTGATTTCTCTCGGGTCGGCCTTTTGACGAGCAGCAGGAAAAGGAATTTTGATATTGATAGGAACCTTAGTGTTCCTAATGATACCCAATATATTTTTGTGGATATAGGTTGTTTCGCCAATTGTTTCTTAGTCATATGGTGTGTCATAAAGGATATGCATAATAATATGGTTTTATCTGCGAGTAAGAAAGTGGATAGTGATGTTGGCTCGGCCGTGGCAAAAGCTTTGGCTCTTAGATGGGGAATTCAGTTGGCTGGAGGTATTAATCTGACTAAGATTGTTGTTCATTCTGATGCCTTGACTATGGTTGATTATGTGAATGGTATTACCACGTGTGTAGTCATTGAACCGATTATTAATGATTGCCAATTGTTGTTGAAAGAGTTTCCTATTTTTGTTGTTTTGTTTTTAGGTAGAAATAGAAATTCCGATGCCTACTCTGCAGTTTAACAAAATGGGTTGGTTATAATCCTTCTCTGAAAGATTTTATGCCATTATGTTCCATTCATAAGAAAACTCGTTAATCTAGGTATTTATGTTATCTTATCCATTATGTCCTAGATGTCATAATTAGGGGGAGTACTTAATGGAATTACTTTTTCAACACTTACATGTGCATATCACACCCTTAAAAATCTAAAATTATTCTTTATAAGTCTGGAAATGCATCTCCGAACGCACCAAAATCACAGTAAACTGCGTTATTCTGAGGTTCACCTTATGTTGAACTAATATGGTCTGGAGATGCATCTTTGTATGTTATTTTGGTGTATCTGAAGATGAATATCTAAAATGTTCCCTGAAGTCCTTTAAAAGGTGTTGGAAGGATAAATTATTTCAGAGATGCATCTCCAAAAACCCCTCTGAATCATTTCAGAGCAGCACCATTGTCCCAATATCGTAATTTTTTACGGCGAATTGATATTATAGAAAAACAAAAGTAAAATCCGTATAAAATCAAGTTAAATGAAAATAAAAATTCATACATTAATCCAAAACATAATCCAAAAGAAAATATTTATCCGAAAATACAAAAAAAACAATACATACAAATATAAACTAACTATTGGGTATGTCTAACCCCCTGCCTCCTCTGTCGTCTGTGCTGCACAATATTTTGTAACGCGATAACCATGGTCTTCACGAGGATCAACTAGGGAGTGTCATTCTCAAAGAGTCTTGCCCGTATGGTTCCTCTACCCATCTCCGTAACACGCCGGCAAACCTTTGTCAAGCTAGGTTAGTTGGCCTATGTGGTCCTCCAGGAGCGTATAATGTCATGATAGAGTGTGACACCCTATAAAACCATGTTTGTATCCCTCAACATAAGCCCAATGTACATGAACGGGCTCCCGATGATACTCCTCTGGTACCAGGTGACTCTCGAAATCATCCAGTAAAGCACCAAGATCTTTGCGGCAGATACCGGGAGGAGCGACATCATAGGGAAATTTCGAAATGATTTGCATGTAGCTAAACTAGCACATCGCTCACTCTGGAGGATAAGGATACATAAGAGATGACCCACATGCCATCTTTATGGAGTATAATGAGATGGCGTCAAACAAATGTGTATGACAGTGACTCTCATATGGGCAAAAGCAAACATCATCCGTTACCATACGATCAAGAGAGACTCATAATGGTTCGACCACATTATTTCCTCTGTACCGGACAAACCTACGACTTTGCTCCTATGGCATAAACCCATTTTTTGCCATACTAATCATAAAAATACTCAATACATGTTTTTATAGCCTACCAATTTCTTTTAAACTATTCCTGATGTGCCTAAAACAACTAAATGTAACTTAAAATATTAACTACAAATCAAAATATAAGAAGATAACACAATTTGACAAACTTACCAAATAAAATTGATTGTTGAGAAGGAGAAGCTTGGATGGTAGATATGAGGAAAAATAGCTCCAATGATATAAGCTTGAATTAATGGGTGGTAAGTAAAATCGTTGCAGAGCTCAAATGAGTTTTTGAGAACTTTAGATAATGAAGGAGAAAGAAGGAATGATTTTGGCACAAGATATATATCAAAAGTGTATGGAGTTGTATCTCTGGACCATCCACAATTATTTGAATAAATAATTACAGAGATTATATTCGGACTAAATTTTCCACATACGAGATGCATCTCCAGATTAAATTTTAATATAAGAGGTTGTCTCTTCAATTTAGTATTAGAAACGACTAAAAAAGATGTGTTTAAAGATACATCGTCAGATATTAGTCTAAAAGTAAAAAGAATATTTTTATATTTAATTAATTGAGTAAGCCCGTGTATTTTTACATTTAATTAATTGAGTAAGCCAGTGTATTTTGACCACACAAATTTGCTTCAGGTCTCTTCTTTGTTTCAAGGCAAATTCTATTTCAAACAAAAAATTTATTAATAGTAAAATTACTCTTAATATTATAAAGAACATTTTGTCACTTATCACAAATATCATAGGCAACATATGATTGGCTAAACTTTTTTAAGGATGTGGACATATCAGTTAGAAACTCTCTTTAGGAAGAGAATAAAAAGAATTTTTAACTTTTAGCTTTTCATTTCAAATAAATAAAAAAATTCTATTTAATAACTGATTTTTTTACTAGCTTTTGATTTTTTTTTTACAAAAGCTATTTGAAAGAGTTTTTAGTTTGTAATTTTATATTTTTTTTATCTATCAAGTTGGATAATAGTTAATTTACCATACACTTAAATTAATTTATTAACTAACAATCATCAACTACTCCCTCCGTTCAACACAACTATTCTGAACGGTAATAGTTTTAATGCATCTTCATATAAATGCATGTGTCGAGAGTTTTAACCTCGACAATTCAAAGAGACAGAAGCTGAATTATAAAGAGAAAACAACGAATGATGATATCACAACAATGATGTCAATGTCTTGTTGGAAGATTTAAAGACGAAGGTTTACCTAGTTGGACAAATAAGCAAGATTTTGTACACGCATAGCTAATTAGTGATCATCAATACTTTGAGTTTATAGTAAATATATTATTGTTAGTCCTAATTAGAAGTCTGAAGCATGCCACTAATACACGAGAGAAATTGTCACCCTACCCTCATAACGAGGAACAAGTTAACCACATTTATGTCAATTCTTCTTTGAATAACTCCTAACAAAGTTCCATAAACAAGAATCACAATTTTGTGGATTTTAGAGTTTCTAAAAAAAAGGAAAAAACCTACTAAAAAACTACCATAAACAACAATCACAACCTAATTAGAAAATTACATTTTTCCTATCTACCACCTGACCTAACACTTTGATAGACTTACATTAAAGACGAAACAAGTTAATTATTCTTCAATTTATTATTTTACCCTTCAAGTCAATTGTCTTTCGTAGACAATTTTTATCAGATTTTTGTTTTAAATATTTAATCACTGAACCCCAGAACACTTGCATGACTCAATACCATGCTAATCACTCATCTTTTACTTAGTGCAATTAACCATGATAATTAGTAATTGTTAACGAAACAGGCACTTCTATAAAGAAAATTTTAATTACCAATGCATTATTGACTAAAGTACTAAGGAATTTATGTAAAATCAGATAAAATCCCATTTTATGTGTTGAATCCTTGATTACACTTGCTGTGGTTAAAATACAAACCTAAAATATTATCGATAGTACATTAAGGAAATAGTTACCATTTTCTGTTTGAAAAACTTAGTGCTGTATGTCATCAAAAATAACTCATTATAAATTAAAACTGATGGCTGACAAAACATATTAAGGAAAATACCTGATAACATAAATAACAAGTTTTTGAATGTCTATTACAAATATTAAAACTTCAAATCTGAGTTTGATAAACAACCAAAAACAAGGGCAAAAAACAATTGTAAGACTGTTATGCAGTCTAGAACACTAACTCATGAGGCTTCACACCTGCCTTCAAAGAAAACCTAGCACCAAGGTAAGTCTTTAGATCAGGAACACTTTCTATGGCTTTTAACAAACCTGCATCAAGAGTCTTTTGATCATCTTTCTTTGACTGGGGGAGCACTTTCTTATCCTAAAAAGAGAACAACAAGTCTCAGCAAACAAAGGCAATCAATCATGAGACCATATCATCAAAAACAACATACTCAACAAACTAACCTCCTTATCTGCCTCAAAGAATTCACCCTCTCCCTTCTTTGTTTTCTTTTGGGATTCTTTTGAGAAGTACTTGTCATCAAACTTTTCAACGTTAACAGAAGAAACATCTACTTTGGTTGATGTGCCAATAACATATGATTGGTTGACACGCCTCAATGGAACTCCGTTAATCTTGAAAGGGCCTGAAGTGGTGCCAATAAAAAATTAAGAAAGCCAGAGACAAATAACTATGGTAGTTAAGAGTGTACCAAATCCAAAAATTGCATCAAAATCTATCGCGTAAGTACATTGACTGCACGCCACATATACAACAGCTAGGTTAAGCATGGCAGCACATAAGTAATATGTTGGATCAAGTGAACAGGTGAAATAGAACAGCAGAATTCTAAGTTACAATTAAGAAAACAGCTTAACTCAATAATCATATTTAGTGGCATAACTAAGTTTAGCATCTTGAATACAGTGAATTAATACCAAAGAACCTAACATTCAAGAAATAATGGTTGAGTAACAAAAGTCAAAAATGAAAACCAAACTAGCACAAAAACTAAAAAATTTCAACAAATTAATGCAGAGAACAAATGAAGAAAGCTCAATCAAATTATACTGACAACAACTGATAATATACAACAAACTGCAGCCAGACTAAGAATGTTGAATCCCTTAAAAACATCAATTACCAGTAACAAGGAGGAGTCCAGAAGGAAGCTGCTTGAGAAAAACTACTCGCTTTCCCTTGAATCGTCCGGCAAGAAGAATCAAAACTGTTCCTGGAGTAATGCTAGCCCTGAAAACAAGTTTAAAAAATCATCATTCCCTATCTAAATTCTCCAACCTAAAAGCATCATTCCTCTAACAAAATTGATCAGATCCTAATCAAACCTACTAAAGCAACACAAGTTTTTCACAATTGCATAAATAAAAAAGTTGAATAGACAAAAAATGAAAACCACGGACCTAAGCTTTGTGGGCTTTGGTTTGTGTTTGTTGCGTAGTGGCTTCTTAACATCATCAGCAGGATAGAATTTAGGAGCCTTCTCGACGGGAGCTTCAGGCTTAGGAGCTGGATCGTGGCGGGGGAAAGCACCACCGTTTTTGGCCTTAATAGCCCAGAGTCCCCTCTTGTGGTACATCGTGGACCTGGAGTATTTTCCGATACCCCTGATCAATTCAGGGTTACGGCTGACTCTGGGTGTTCTTGCGGTTTTCTGTGTTGGTGCCATTGCTGCTGCTTCTTCTTCTTCCAACAAAAAAACCCTAATTCTGTCGAGAGAGATTCAGTTCAATCTATTTATATATTCGGTCTCTTTAGGTCATTTCCTTTGCCGGCCCGAGTCTCTAATCACGCCAGTTTCAAGCCCAGCCCAATTCCATATTTTGTTATTTATTCATTGAAAATTTATTTTCTACCCCTACTTTTATATTTGTATCTCTACAATTAAATTTTTTAGACAAAAATGTCTTTCATATAAATAGTATAACTTTTTTAAAAAAAATTGTTTCTCACTTTCACGCTCACAAATTCTTCCGAAAAGCTCTCAACTAGAATACATTCCAGAACACATTTTGCAAGTCTTTTGGTTCACATTTTTCTACTCAAAAACACTTTAGATAAGTGTTCCGAAAATTTGTATGCACCGAAACACTTTTTTCAACTTTTCAGAAAATTTTAGCGCGCCGGAACACATTTTAGAAGTGTTCCGGTTTGAGTTTGAATTTTTGAAACATATTTCATAACTCTTTTGGTTCATTAACTAACACAACGAAATACATTTTATAAGTCTTCCGAAATTTTTCATGTTTTGCAAATTGGAACACTTTCAAGATGTGTTCCTGTTTGAATTTTTTGTTTTTATTTTGTTTTTTTGTTTTGCATGATGGTGTGCACATTAGGCTCAGACAGTAGGCTTCTTCAGAGGAAGGATGGTTGGATCTGCTTCACAACCTCAACAGGAGTCTGAAGGATATCCAAGAGGATCGTCTGACATATCTCTTCTGGTTAGAGACGAGCATCATTGTGCTCGACGTCTATGGTATGGGCATGTAAGTAAATGAAATTTTTATGTTAAATAAATTTCATAAATTTATAATGTTTATCTGTGTTTATTAATATGCATATTTTTGTTTTCATGAGAGAGATGCGAAGAAGGAGCTTAAATGTGCTGCTCACGGGATGAAGCTACAGAGTTGGGTTCCACTTCAACTCCTGAAAGAGATTGAGTATTGGGTGAACCAATCTGGTATAACCTTGCTACAAAGAACTAGTTTACACAAGATAGACCCAAACCTGATTTCAGCTTTTATAGAGAGATTGCACTCAGAGACATCTTCATTTATATGCCATATGGTGAAATGACGATTACTCTTGATGATGTTGTGTGTCTGTTTCACTTGCCCATAAGGGGTGTCTTCTAGAGTCTTGAGCACGTTACAAAAGATGGTGTTGCATCTCTTGTTGTTGACTACTTGAGAGTGCCAAGGTCTGTTGCAATAAGTCAGGTTCGAGCATGCAGAGGACCACATTATAAGTTGGAGTGGTTATATGATTTATTTGTACATCACCGAGCCGTTTTTTCTTGGGCATATGCAACCAGAGCATATCTAGTGTTGTTGGTTGGTTGCACAATTTTTGTTGACAAGACATTTACGCTTATTGAGGCAAAATATTTATTGTCATTTAGGGACCTGAACGGTCTTCACCATTATAGTTAGGGAGCAACTCCATTGGTTACCCTATATGATACTCTTGAAGATGCATGTGTGTTTGGGTGCAAACAACTTGCTGGATATCCCACTCTTCTTCAAGTATTTATTAAATTTCTTTATTAAATAGTTTATTATACTAATGTAGTATTTTTTTTAAATGGTTGACATTGAAACAGTGTTGGATTCACGAGTATTTTCTCGCACTTGGAAGAAAGGAAGAAAGTTGGACACCATCTAAAAACTTTGTACTTCATAGAGTTATGAGATGGTCCTACAAGCAATGAGCCATGAAGGTGGATGCTTTGTGGCCCATTTTGGATGTGTTGACACCGACTGATGTCATATTGCGCCCATTTGAGAATCACAAATAGTGGCGTGTGTCTGACGAGCTCAGTCTGTACCGAGGGGGCCTATAGTGGGGAGACATTATTGTTATCTACTTGCCTGATAGATGCATACGTCAGTTTAGATATATACAATATATTTTACCCTTGTCTCATGTTGTTCATGATCTTGATGTCGATGTTGATTGGATTGGCTATGATCAGAGTGTCCTTGAGGTGGTATGTCTGACATCAGAGGTCACCTTTGCATTAGATCGATCCCGATTATTTGGATTGGTATTATCGTGTGTCACATCCTCAGTTAGTACCGCCACCTCGGAGTACACCAAAGGAGGTGCCAATTCTTGAGTATGATTCAGGACCATTTGATCCTAACTTGGCTCGTATTTCTGTCTTGTTACATTGTCACCTCTAAAAACATGGTGCTAAAGCGGATGATCCAGAGTTTGCAGATTTATTTGAGGCGTTACGTATTTTCCATTTAACATGATTTGTTTATGACTTATGTTTATGACATATTTTTATGACTTATGTTTATGATGTATTTTTATGACTTATGTTATGTGTATTAACATTATGCGTTATATATTATGTTATGCGGATAGTTTATGTCATTCATATGGAGTAACACTATAATTTATTTAAATGGTATTGATTGGATCGAAAGTTTGAATGGTTTTGATTGGATCTATAATATGAGTGGTTTTGATTGGACCGACAATTTGAGTGGTTTTAATTGGACCGGCAGTTTGAGTGGTTGTGATTGGACCGACAGTTTTGAGTGGTCTAGAATAAATTAAAAGTAGTATAGATAGGGGTCTTGTGTTGTTTAGAAAAACATCAGATTTTCAGAATGTATTTTGCTAATATTTTGGTCGATGCAGAAGTGTATTTCAATGGAATACAAGATGTTGTGAAGTTTCAGATCCCGAACTGATTTTTGAACCTCGATTCATTGAAGGAAAAGATTGACTACGAGTTGCTACCTGAACGTGATAACAAAAGGGTGAGGAAGATTTCATACCGTGAAAACTGGAACATGGATGTTAATGGAAGGATAAGTTACAACATTGTAGAGTTGCAGAGCGATGACGGTAGGAAGGCCATGTGGAAATTATACCGTTGTAGATTAATTAAGTGGTTGATTGAGTTTGAAGCGCATGTTACTAGGTCTGCTGAAGACGTCATAAAAATGTTAAAGCGTCCAGAATCGTCAAAAGACGTCTAGATCTGTTATTTTTATGTATTTTCGTTAAGTGTTATTTTTATGTTTTTCGCTATGTGTTGTTTTTAATGTATTTCGTTATGTGTTATTTTTAATGTATTTCTTTATATGTTGTAATGCTCAATATATGTATAATAAACTAATGTTGGTGATAACAATTTGAGTCAACATTACACAAAATATAACATAAAGTGTTTATATTAAACTAACAAATGAAGGTAATACAGGTGAAAGTTGTAGCCAAAGTTATAGATGTCCTGCAAATATTAACATCCAAGAAGTTGCATCTGGTGCACGAAACTTCTTTCAATCTTTTGGAACCGGTGGTAAGCGGAACCTGTCTTTCATGCTTACCTGATTATTAAAAATAAAGTAAAATCAAGTTATGTCATATTAAATAAATAAAGTAAAACAAAGTAAAATCAAGTAATGGTATATATTAAATAAGAAAATCAAATCATCTTGATTACTTGGATGCAATGTGAATGGTTGACTAAACCAATGCACCAAATATTTGGAGTAAGTGAAGACGAGATTGTCATAGGAAAAAAGGTCAAGAACGGGTCGCCTAAATTCACAAGAATGACATTATAGCGATTTGATATCATATAACCCATGTCAGGAAGTGTAAGCCATTTCTCCTCTGGTTATCGACCAATGGACTCTATCATCAATCATGCTCTCACTTCTGATAACCGATCTCCGAATAATGTCTTATATAAACTCTTCTTATCTCTTATTTCCATATCCAACTCTCGATGGACCATTGGCCAACTATCCTCACTATACCCCTGTAATGATACAATGACTCTAAATCCACAATTACCATACAATTCAATATCCACAATCTCTTGAATATATAACCTGATATGAAGTGGAAACTGAAAAGTGTATTGTTTCTTTGATTGTGATTTCTTCTTTGATTGTTACTGCTTTTGTGATGGTTGAGATTGCTTTTGTGATGGTTGAGATAGCCTCTATGAAGATTGAGATGCTTGTTCAGCATACTCATGTTGTGAAGGGTCCCTATAAACATCATACCCAATCAGTTTCTTCCCTTTCTTCTTAACTCTTCCCTTGGTTTTTATTTTCTCAGGTGGTGGACATAAAGAAGTTGTTATGGCGTAAGCAAGTTCACAAACCCTACTTTTTAATACTCTTCTACCAATAACATCTAGTGATATAAACCTTCTCCACAATTCCTACATTGCACTACTCATGTTAACCTTCGATCCATCTTTTACAGCTGCCTGTAACTCAACTTCTAGACTTAGCTTCCTCCAATGAATATGAACACTTTCTATTGGCATCGGTGTACCACCAATAACGTACCTCCTTAACTCACAAGCACAAGGTAACCCATAATTTGTTCTATGAGTACAACCACATGATTGCATGATAGTTCCAACATAATCAACCCTCGATAACTCTTCAGGAATGTGTCTCAAAGCAACTCTAGATACATAACCATACAAACTACCATATAATGGACTTACTGAAGGGTGAGAAAACACTTAGAGGGGGGGGGGGGGGTGAAAAAGTTCCTCTTTTTCTTTTTCTTAAAGGCTCAACAATAATGGAAAGACACAGTTATTTTTATCCTGGTTCATTTGAACTCAAACTACTCCAGTCCACCCGCCAAGGTGATTTCGCCTTTCTCAACAAGGACTTAATTCACTATAATCAAACTAATTACAATCACACAACCAAACTGTTGTGACTAACAATACAATACACAAGTAAACTTACAAGTGACTAACACCACTAAGACTCAAACTAGTCCTAGCCTTCTTGAGAAATCTGACCAAACTTGGTCTCTCAAGGAACAAATACAAGAATTAAATTTTTACAGATAGTGAAACAAATTGCTTCTTAGAAAGCTATATCACAAACTGTAATTTTTCACTAAGATTAGTTTTGCACAAAGTGTTTGTAAAATGATTGGTGA